TTTATCAGTTCCTGGGTGCTTATTATGTTTAATCCCTGAATAACCTATGTAGGGATCGTTTAAGGATTTGTTTTTCCAAGAAATCATACACATGGATAATAGTTATTTTTAAAATGTATTGATATCATTTAAATGTTACAGTTTAATATACCAATTTTGCGTCATATTACCTAGGTTAATACCATCTGTACTGCAACTTTCTGAATTTTAAACATTAACACATTGTTTAATCCCTTCTTATTCTGTGGAAATCCAGCAGAGAATAGAATTAATATCTTTTGTGATAGTCAAGTACGAGAATGTAGGTTGTATAAGACGTTTAAAATGTAAAGCATGAGAATAACATTAATTCACTATAATTACTGAATTGTACATTCCTAGGTATTCTGGTAATCCAAATAAACTATAAATACACATAAATATAAAATTTTCAATTTAGGGAAACAGACTAATAATGTTCTCACACATTCAAAATTCTCCAAGAAGACCCTCATCCTTTTACAGGTGCCCCTCTGTACCTTTAGTAAAATATAATAAAGCAATGAGATAAAATGACATTATGAGAGAGAATATTGACCTAATTGGAATAAGGTAGTTATTGAAATTATAATTTTAGTACTGGCTGGAAAATTTATTCTTTTAACATGGATACCTACTTAGAATTTAAAGTGAAAGATGTGTTGCTTTCAGAAACTCCAAATTCTATTTATCTTACAGATACATAAGTACTAGATTTTTTGTTTTGTTTTGTTTTTGTTTGTTTGTTTGGTTTTGTTTTTTTGAGACAAGGTTTCTCTGTATTGCTTTGGAACCAGTCCTGGAACTAGCTCTGTAGGCCAGGCTGGCCATGAACTCACAGAGATCTGCCTGCCTCTGCCTCCAGAGCTCTGGGATTAAAGGTGTGTGCCACTAATTTTAAATTAATAACAAACAGAAGAAATATATATTTGTTTAATACTATGTTTTAAAGTAATTTTTCATGGACTATTCCACTCAATCCTAGGAAGGAATACATATATTTTATTATCTCCCACTTTATATTAGGAGACTCATGCAAACCTACTTTAATAATAAGAACCCACATCAGATATTAGGGTTTGAAAGCTCAAAGACCAGAGAAAAACAACAGCCAGACACTAGAGCTCTTATCTTCATGGAATCCTCTGACTGAACAGATCCTGAGCTAATGTCTCCTCCCGCCTATATTCCTTTCTTTGCACAACCATCTCACTTCCTGTCTGTCTGTACAGACCTCCAGACATCCATAGTTAGTTAGTGGCTAGATCTTCCCTCTGATCTTCAGGCAAGCTTTATTTGTTATAGTATGAACAAGAAATTACAATATTTTCCCATTATATGTCCCTCTTTGAACATTCTGTTGCTTGAAAGTTTCTAAAATGCTGTATGAATATATGTATGTATGTATGTGTGTATGTATATACATATTGAGACTTAACATGGACAGTGTCTAGGAATTCCAAGTACAATTGTGGATTAGAAGTTCTCCAGTTCTGCCACACATGGGATGGAGGACTTCAAGTTATAATCTCAATATCCTAAAGGCTGAGAAACAAGGCTGTTGACATGATTTTTAAAGATGTGATGAAATAATGCATGACACTGACACCTATTTCTGTTGCCCCAGCCATGAATACTGAGACTGCTGCTGACTTATCTCTTTTGTATGTTATATTCATTACAATTTTCTTTTTAGTTCTCAATGACTCTTTGATCCCTCTCATCTTGATGCAAACACACCCTGTTTTCCCAGTCTTTACAAGGGCTTAGTTAGTGTCTTTCATCTTCCTTTAGCACCTCAGTCTATTCTTTTCTTTACAGTATTGGCTTTACTAAAATAGAAATGATGTCATTCTACTGCTTAAATGAATTCTGGCGCCACCTATTTAACTAGATAAAGATAAAAGCTGTTCAATAGTTCACAACTCTATAGTATCTACCCTACTCCCTGAACTGCCACTCTTAGATAACACTGTGCCATGCCCTTCTCATCCCCGCCCCCAATAGCTTCACTGCCATTGCTCTACCTAAGAAACCCGCCTTAGTAGTATTCTTTACCTGTATTCTGCTTCCACAGAAAATCACTTACCTCAATGCAATGACATTTTATTTCAGGGTAAGATCTGGTTGACAGTCCTTGGAAACATTTTTAAAAACACTAGACTTTCCTTACCCAGTATTTCTTTTCCCACCTTCTCTTCTGGTTTCTATTTCTCATTGACTGTATCAGTTTCTAATATGTGTGTTGTTTCTCTTTATCATTGTCAAGTTCATTAAGGTAGGAAATACATTTATTGTGCTTTGTGCTCTATCCCAGCTAGGATCACCTAAAGTACACTGAACAGCTAAATATATTTATCTATTGAATGAAGAAAACTGTCACTAGGATAGGAAATACCAGGGCAAGATTGGCTTCTGGCAGCTTTTTGACCCACAGGCCAGTGCATGATCCCCAGTCTGATCTATTTTTACCTTTTCCTGCTTAACCACACTTGGGTATCCTACTTGCTGTCTCATGTGGGAAGAAAGAAAAGGATAGGGACAGGAAGGAAATGAACAAACAGGCATACTATCCCCTCTATACTGTACAAACAAAAAGGCAAGTTGAAGGGATGAGGGATTTGGTAATTTCTCAAATAAAATCTAAAATGGCAGCTTTCTTCTATCACATGTAACAGCAAGAGAAAAGTCTAGAATTTGTACTGTCACTGGATTAACTCTTTTCCAGTTTTCATGTGTAACTTTCTGCTCTTCCTCTTCATATCTGTAGGAAAATGTCCTTACTGTCCACTTTATTGAATTAACACCACCACATCTTACATCACTTGTTTCACTCCTTCTATGTATTTACTCCAATGGCATAGTAATTCAACATAGTTTTCTTAATTAGAATTTTTTTCTTCTCTTTCATATATGTTTTATGAAGGAAAAGTTGTATTTAAGTCTTTTATTTAGAAAAGTTGTTTAATAAAAAGTTATTAAATGAATAAGATGTAGTTTGCCTTAGTCTATATGTAACATTATTTAATATTAACAAATATCAGCTTTAGAATCATACTTAGACATGTTGCATTTTAAACATCTTATTAGCATTATAACTTCATGGTAATTAATTCTCAGGTTACTTATTTTATTATTAAATACAAATAAAATAATGTACTTTACAAAGTTATTAAGTTGAAGGAAAGATTGTATATCAAGTTTCTAGCTATGAGCAAATAGTAACTGTCAATCAGAGAACCATTACTGTGGCCATGTTATTGTAATTAGGTTAAATAGTAAATTTAACCACTAAATACATTTTACATACATAAAACAAACACAGTTTGATAATTGTATCTAAGGGGATAAGATGCATAAACAGGTTATATTAATATTAATGTCACAGTAGCTTAATATGTATCATAAAATAGTATATATTTAAAGTTGATAATTAAATAAATTACTGTTACTTTGTGAGTAACATTACTTTTCTTCCCTACAAGAAGTAAATTGGCTGAATTCTTAAAAATGCTGTATACTATTATCTATGTAAAATTCATGTTTGATTGATATAAACAAATTTTATAAGATAAATATATCAATAACTCTTATTTATTTGAAAAGACAGCATTTAATGAGGAATTTGATCTTATGAAATGTGAATTGTGTAAAATTCATCAAGAGTTCTTTATGATAGCAAAAACCATCATAGATATTTCCTATTATATAATTTATGTTAATTATTACTCATAGACATATAATTTCCTATGGTTTTATTATTCTAATCATTTAAATGTTTACACTTTTTGGCATTTATTTATTTGTTCATTTATTGTTTGGTTTTGGAGACTGGGTTTCTTTATGGCTTTGGAGGATGTCCAGGAACTAGCTCTTGTAGATTAGGCTGGTCTCAAACTCACAGAGATCTGTCTGTGCCTCAAGAGTGCTGGCATTAAAGGCATGCTCCAAAACCACCTGGCTACAATTGTAATTTTTATTCACCTTATTTATATATTCTTCATAATATGATTTAACATTTCTTTTGTGGTTCACGTTTGTAGACTTCTTTAACCCTTTAGTCAAAATCAGATTTCTGAAACTACTCAACTTTAAGAAAATGAACCCCAAATGAATGTATTTGTAATACCAAAAATATTGTTAAGAATCTACTCATTACAAATATCTCTTATCTAAAACTTCAAATCAGATGATATGTCCAAAATAGTTTACATGGCTCTGGGTGTTTATTTAAAGTCTTGTATTCAACAGCAACATATTTTTCTGTAACATGGCCATCCTCTTAGAGAGGTTCTGGGTGGACCAAATTTTTCTGAGCTCGATGCAGCAAGGATTCTTGCTCAGTGTTTCATGGAGTCTCCTATTCAGCCTGCACTATTTTCTCTTGCTGTTCCTGCTTTACATTTACTACCAAAAATAGAGCACACAGAGCTTTCCCACTGGGCTACTTGTTTGGCTTCTGTTGTGGCTAAGAATTCTTGGCTAAAGCTCAGATGAGTGATAACTACATCACCAAGGATGTGGCTGAAGTCCTTGATGTGCTCTGAGAGGTCTTTTTGGATCCAGGGTGACACCTGGGCCTACTGGGTACGCAGCTATGATGAAGTAAACATGGCCACCATGCTCTTGAGCACTGTGTTGACAATAGACAGCAACACTCACTCCTAGTAGTCTCACTCCCTTGCACCTGTCCTGAACCCTCAGGGACAGACATCCCACCATGTCCTTCAAGTTCTGCATCATGTCTGGTCCTCCTGAAGGCCATGGCACCAGAGGTCAGGAAAGGGTGTGCACCCATTTCTCCCCAACTTTGTTTTAGAGACGATGGCCTGCACATGAGCGTCAAGGACCATGGTGTTTGCCAAAAGACACAGATTTTAATTGTTGTATTTTCTGAGTTAAATGGGTAGTCAAAAATTAATGTATCTCTCTCTCTCTCTATCTATCTATCTATCTATGTATCTATCTATCTCTTGTTTCAGCTCTGGGTAAAGATAAGGATTACATGGATGAATCTGAACATGCCAACTACGATCGATCTCGTCTCCTTAATGACTTTGCTATCAAGGATAAGCCTGAATCCAAGACAAAATCATCTAAGGTAATTTGAACTGAATTATCAATGCATAATTTGTAATGTAATTTTTAAAATTATTATTTGAACATTAGTCTGTATGATTGGATTAGTGCTAGAAAATCTAGACACTCATGTTAATATAGTTCTTAAAGGTATCAAGCATGAAAATTTATTTCTTGACATTAGAATTATTTGTATTATTAAACAATTATTTTAGTATTTAACAATTCCAAAATCCCCTCTTTATTTTTTAATTTATTCTTTAATTTTAATCATTTTATTTTTAATTAAATCTTCCTCATCATCCCTAAAACTCCTCTATGTCCCTTAATTTCCTTCTCTAATTCATGACCTATTTTTCTTTAATTATTTTTCTTAAACACAGAAATACAAATAAAATAAGTAGTTCAGTCAAAGAAATCTTATTCAAATATACTACTGAATTTTTGGGATCGCCCACCTCCAACTCTTACTCTCCTATGGAAACCACCTCTAGTGGTCTGGGCCACTCATATTCCAGCTATCAAAGCATTTCTACCATTATCCATTACATATGTGAGACTGAAACATAAATTCCATTTCATTAAAGATTTCAGTTACATAAAAGAATAATAATACTGAAGGTTTCCTAAGGATATAATAATCTGCCTTGAAGATATTGTATATAGGATCTCAAAAAATAAATAAGTGATATAAATTTGCTTTATTTGCATTATTTTCTGAGTGCTATATTTTGCAAATCTGCTATCTTCTCATGTCAATTTTAAATGATAACTTGGGTATGTAAACTATATATGATGTCTCATATTTGTAATATCAGCGTTCTGAGCCAGAGGTAGGGCAATTGCCCATTCTACAAAGCAAGTATAAGATTAGTTAAGCCCATATTGCAACATCATAAGTAAAGTGAGAAAGAAAGAAAGAAAGAAAGAAAGAAAGAAAGAAAGAAAGAAAGGAAGGAAAGAAGGAAAGAAAGAAAGAGGCTGTTAGGTAGGTAGGTAGATAGATAGACAAAGATTTTAAGTTGAATTTTATAAAATTGCCAGACTTCATTTATGACCTAAAAGCAGCACAAATGATATACATGTGTGTGTGTTATATGAAAATAATACAGGTTTTAATACAAAATTGTTACGACCACTCTTTCCTGCCAGCCTGGCCCCATAACTTCGTCAGCCCCAATGAACACACAGATGCTATGTTAATTATAATGTTGGCTGCTGGATAGGGCATCTTATTAGCTAGCTCTATCTTAATTATTAACCTATAACTACTAATCTATGTATTTCTACATGGTCTTCTCTTACCGAAGCATACCTCACTTTTGTTCTCTCTTCCCTGGATGCACATGAAGACTGCAACTCTTCCTACACCTCCCAGAATTCTTCTTGCTTCCTAGTCCTACCTATCTTCCTGCCTGATTGGCTAAAATGTGCTTTATTCATCAACCAATAAGAGAAACATATACAGAATGACATATCCCATCACAAAATCTCTGTCTCATGTCATGATTTACATTTGATATTTTTTCTGGTTGCACTCTGCACTATACCTATTATACATAATGAGTGAAATGCAAAGGGAGCATGTCAGATAGGAGCAAACACACTTATAAAGATTCAGCAGGAAGCAGTATTAATCTGAAGGGTTACTCATGCCTACTGCAAAGTATGTAGAAGGTAAAGACAAGTATTGGATAATAGAAAACAAATAGAGCTCTATACCAAATTAGCCATCATCCATGAACTAGGGTTAGAAGAAATGATTCTAAATTCTCTCAAGTGCTACTGTATTATAACACAATTGAGTTTTACAGATGTAAAATCTAACAAGGAATCTTAGAAATATGTCTGACTAGTGGTTCAGTCATTGTATAGATGGACTTTCAACCTGTTTTAAATTTTATTAGTTAACTATTGAGCAACATTTTCAGTGTGGTCTTGAGTCCAAATAGTAAATATTTTGTTTTTATCAATGCTTTTGCTAAATTAGCATGGTCATTTAAATGCCAAATCGCTCATTAGCTTGGCTTGAATACTGATTGGTCTCCAGTTGGTGGAACTGTTTGGGAAAGATTGAGATGTGTGGCCATTTAGGAGGAGATGTGTCACTGCTGTTAGGCTTTGAGGTGTCAAAAGACTAATGTCATTTCAAGTTAGTTCTCTGCTTCCTGTTTGTGGGTCAGGAGATGTGAGCTCTCAGTTGCTCCAAGGCTATGCCTGCTTTTCTACAGCTGTACTCCACATTATGATGATAATGGACTCCTATCACTCTAGAACTATAAGTCCCAAGTAAACCCTTCCTTCTCTAAGTTGCCATTGCCATGGTGTTTAAGCATGCAGAAATATAAATATTTAATAAAATTAAGTATACTGTAAGTAACTCTTTGGTTTTAGGATCCATCTTCAGAACAAGGAATTGTATTTTAAACTCCTTTTGAAGATTAAAACTTTTTAGATATTGGCTTCTGATATGATAATGTGATAATGATAGCATAACTGGACCTACTAGGAAGACACTGTTCAAGTGTCTCTACAACAGAGAAAGAGAGTAAGCATTAGATGGCTTCTATTGTCTAAGTGTTGTGATAACAATCAATGGAGAAAGCCAAGGGACTCTACAAACCAGAAATATCATCAAGTAATGTCTAAATCTGTATCTGGCTACTATTAAATCTTAAAACAAAATCCAAATTAACATATCAATGATGTGTTGTAGATAGGACTTTACTTTTTAGTCACTGTATGTTCTAATTTTGTTGATACTTTAAATACCCATTTATCAATAGGTAAAGTCTATTGAATTGGAATTAAGGTTTCCTTGGATCCTAAGACTTTAACAGGAGTGATTTGATGCTAACACTAAACTTTGGGTTCAAATAAAGCTTGAATTTCTGTTCTATATCTTGGGTTTCTGTTTTCATGAGGTCTACTACATACCAGAGCTAGGATTAGGGAGGATAAAAGACCTCCTATATCAGAGACTAATGGTTATAGTTGTCCTAATTGTGAAAAAAGATATCAGAAACTCACAGGAACACTAAGAGGAAACACAGTTGATGTTAAAAGAATTCACAAGTGGAAAAAGTCTATGACAATAACCACGAAAAATATTTGGGAATGATTTTTTTTTCAGCAAGAGATAATAAAGAGAGCTTTAAATATTAAAGGATGAAATGATGACATATAACAGTGATTAACTTAGAATTCACTTTTTCTCCAGATATTGGGAAGATCCAAAAAATATGTCATCAATTTCCACAAAATACTCAAAATGCACTTAAACATTCCTTGAAGCCTGGATATATTTCAAGTAGCTTAACGAAAATCACTTTATATTTGAGAAAAACACTTAAACTCTCTGAAGTGGTTCAGCTTTTCAGTAATTTATTTGTAAAACTGTTGAGCCAGAGAGATAGTTCTGCATTTGGTGTGTTTTCTACACCCTCTGCATTATTTAAAATGTTTTCCTGTAATATATTTTGATTAAATTTTTCTCTTCCCAAGCTCATCCTAACTACTCTCAACCCTTCCTTCCCATATAACTTTATGTTCCCTCTTTTTTTCTAAAACAGAAATACAGAAATTTAAATAAAATCAGACAAGCAAAACAAACAAACAAACAAACAACAAAAATGCAAAAATAAGGCAAAACAAAACAAAAAGCCAACCAAACCAAAACCAATGAGTAGATTTTGCATTGGCTGACCACTCCTGGTATATTGGTAATATATACTGTGACAATCCATTGAAGAAAACTGATTTTTTCCCTTTCCTTGCAGGAATTACAAATTGCTTCTTGGTTAATGGTGGGATATTGTGTACATTTACTCCTCTTGGTGTTGGGACCTTGTCTGGCTTGAATCTGTGCATGCCTAGTGTGTGTTGCTGTAGACATCATTAGTTTGTATGTTTGTCAATTCTAGTACATTCAGAAGACATTGTTTCCTTGGAGTCATCCATTCCCTCTGGATCTTACAACATTTTGTCTTACAACTACTCCTTCTCATATATCTAAGATTCTTGAGGGGATAGCCTTGAGGAGAAAATCTCATTTAGGACCAGTCCTTCACTCCACACAGTGTTAATTCCCATGTACTGAAAGACGATTTTCTGATGAGGGCTAGATTAGCCTCTGTTCTAAAGGTATACAATATGTCATTGGGAATCATTTTATTGCTATGCTATTTTAGCAGATTAATAGGTTTTCCCTTAGGTTCATTATATTTTCAGTCTGAGGTTTTTGAACTTAACAGTTTTTGGTATGCAGAAAATACTTGTTGCTTTTACAGAAAACTATGGTTCCATTACAGTACACACACTGGGAAATTTATAACCACCTGTAACTCCAGTTTCAGGTTATCTAATACCCATTTCTAGGTTCTGGAGACATAATCAGATTGGTGGGGGGAGAGAGAAGCACATACAATAATAATAAGTTTAAATCTTAATTAACTGAAGGTAAAATAAAATATTTTCATTAATTGAAATGTGTATTTTTTTATTAGCAACAGTCAAAAACCATTAAGATTAGTGAGATAAAAAATCCTTGCTTCTTTTCTGAAAATTTAGTATGACAAACAAACAAATAAAAATCATTCTATAATTAGATAGATGGATTGAAGTAACTTGACTACATGGAAGAGAAATTCTAGAGAAAGTGAGAGGAACTGCTTTTTTATATATAATAATTTCGAAAAGATTTTTTCCTATTTTATTATTGTAAAGAATATTGTAAATTAAATTTGAAATAAGATCCTATAGAATGAGAATTCTTTCCTTCAAGTAGGAAGTAGGTAGCAGGCAAGATTTCTATGAGAGTACAATTGTCATGGAACATCTACAGTTAGGCTAGGTAGAAGAATCAATCAAGGGCAGAAGAGGCCATAGCTTCCTGTAGAGCATGCTAATAAAGAGCTTAGTCTTGACTCAATATTGGGGGTACATATATTTACTAATGAAGTTTCCAACTAGATTCTGGAATGATGAATAAATTTCCCTAAATTTGACATCTCCTTTGAAAGG